TACCCTAAATAGAAATCCTACTGACTAAAACTACTCTAACAGACTTGGACCAGACTGAGAGAGAATCTGGGCTAACAGTGGACAGGCACCAGTATTTATAGATTTCCTCTCAGTCTTGGACCAATCAGGCTGTGATAAAACCCACGTGTGACCATTCCCTCCTCCCACTCTGGAAAAATGGAGGAAGCTTACATAGTCCTATACTACTTCTTTCTCACAATAATTTTAACAGTATGTATGTGAATGTGTGCATTTGTGTATGTATATTGAAATGACTACTTCCGTCTGTATATTATCTATATATTAGTCTTTCTAACAGCTTATTTAATGTCATAATAAGAATCTGGAGAGACGTTTCTATCAATGACACTTTCTATATAACGTGAGAGAGACTGGCTATAGTCTATGTTAGTGGTAGTCAACCTGGTTCCTACTACCCACTAGTGGCCATTCCAGCTTTCATAGTAGGCGGTAGGGGTTTGCTGTAACTCTGTTTTATAAATTTTATAAAGTAAAGTTACTTCCCTACTTTATAAATCACCATTACTGTGGAACTGGTGGGCAGTTAGAAAATTTAATTACTAACAGAGATACAAAAGTGGGCGGTAGTATAAAAGGGTTGAGTACCCTGGTCTATGTGTACACACACACACACACACACACACATATATATACATACATACATACATACATACATACATACATACATACATACATACATACATACACATATACACAGTATATACATATAAAATTAATTCTGCATACCCAGAATTATGGGGATTATGAGAGGGAGGTTTTATGTGTGTCTGTGTGTATGTGTGTGTACAGAGAGAGAGAGGGAGAGAAATGTGTGTGTGTGTGTGTGTGTACATACATACATACAAACATTCACATGCACACGCAAACACACACATCAGAGGTAGGTTTTTATCGGTTCACAATGGTTCAGGTGAACCGGTAGTGGTAATTTGGCCACAGAACTGGTAGCGACCCAGGCTGGCCACACACCCAAACCAGTTCCCCGATCACCACTGCCATTGCCTGCATGCTTTTTAGTAGTTTTTCAGTTCTTCACACATGTGCAGAACAATTTACAGTGAACTGCACACACACACGTGCAAAGCATGCACAAAACAAACTGGTAGCAATACCACCCCTGATACAGATACTTACAAATACATACATAAATGCAGCTGCTATAATTATTTCCATTCCCTAGAATAAACCACTGTCAGGATCAGCCTAAGAACAACATAGTCATAGAACTATAATTTCTATAATTCTTTCAGATAAGAAACAGAATCTTGTTAGAAAAAATATGTATTACTCTCACCCTGATGGATATATCCTGGGAGATTCTAGGGAGTGGCTATCCTAACTCTCTTCACCTATTTCTGATCCATTTCTGGGCTATGTTCTCTTTTGTCTTGTTCCTTCTCCTTATAATGTGCTCCCACCTTCTGGGGAAACTGCTACTTCAGTGTAATCCATCAACCACTTCCCTTTTCATAGACATAATTCATCATAACTACATCTGAAGCTAAATAAACTTTTAAAATAATTTTTTTATTTTGACATAGAAAACTGTTCCTAAAAAGATAAATAAAAAGACCCAGTGGAAAAGAGCAGCTGGATCTTCTCCCTACACGTTCTACTGGCCCCTATTCTGCACACACAATCTATTTGCAGGAAACTATTTGTGTGTTTAGCAACAAATTTTTTGCAGCACTCTTTGTATTTGTATTTATAGCACTATTGATGGAAATAACAGAAAAAGAAAAATAAGAAAGAAGCAGGACATTCCATTTGATTTTTTTTTCCAATGCTAAATAACAATTATTTTGTCAGCAATGAGAGATAAAGTCCTCAGCAAGGAAACATTCTGTTTTACAGATATTTTTATTTCAACTATAATAACAATCCTTTACCATTAAGCAGAGTTCCAGTTACGTGATTCCATGAAAACACACAACAGCCTTCACACCATTATTGGGCATAGCCTGACAATCTCTATTGTGTTACCAATTTTTTTTATTGTATTTAACAATATAGTTTCAATTGTATGTATGTACACAATGGTGTGTTGGTTGAACGGTGGAGGAAAAATAACAGACTTAGTACATTGTTTCTTATTATAAGATGCTAAATGAGAATTACTAAGCGACATATTCAGCAGCAATGGAGTAAGTTCAATGTATGCTAAAGGTTATTTGTTTAATTATTTATAAACCATGCAAAAAGTCTGTGTCACTGAGAAGGGAAAATTACTTACCAGCATAAAAAATTGTTGTTATCCCTTCTGCTCTCCAATCCTATGAAAAGTTTCAGAGAGAAAAAAATCAGTCTTATGACATCAGCTACCATAGGGAAGGAGGCAAAGAATGGTGAAAGAATTTTTCTAGGATTAACAGTGGGTTTGCAAAGTGATTGAGCCCTATTCCAGAATGGATAGAAATTATGGGATTTCAGTAATAGCATCAGAGAACATGAGTTGAAAAAAATTGAATTATAATCATTTATTATGTGACTTCACTTTATTCTATTCTGCAGAAGATTCCAGACAATCAAGGAATGCAGAAAGAAGTTCTAGAGAAGAGCTTAAGGAATACAATGAAGAATGTTGGTTTGTGTTGTTTGTATATCCTAGTGGCAAAACAGTGTGTACCACAGATAAATATAATTGAGTTTAGTATAAAATGTTAAATCACATCCATATTCAAGAAGTACTTTTGTATGAATCAGATTTTTGTCATCTCTGGATAAAAAGGGTCAAAGTTCCCCTAGAAAAATCTATCATTCTATTGAGCATGTGAGGTGAAATATTTGCAACTTATTTACAAGTGATACTTTTTAGTTATAATGAATACATCAGAAGATAGAACATTATTATGTATTAAATATTTGAGGTATTCTTAAATGCACCTAGATAATCAAATATATTTTATAGATGTAGAATGTGCACATAAAATGAGCCGCACTTTATATACAAATGGCAGGATATCTTCTTAAAATCTTTGGAAAAGTTAGGATTTTTAATTTGAATTATACAGAGTACAGTCATTAGATCAACTATTTTAGGCAAATGTATGCATTGAAATTCAAACATATCCCTGAACTGAGTAGTTACAAAAATACTCTGTTAAGGAAGTCAGTTTTTGTTGCTAGGAGGGGACTCAAAGATTTAATATGTTATTGATCTAAGATACAGAAGGTAATTGCAAATTAAAATTAATTTAAGTAAATAATACAAATTTGTTTAATGTTTTATTAGTTTACTAAAATTTAACAGAAGTAATCTGAATTGGGCAATCATCAGAAACTAATTTCACAAAGAAAAGCATTCAAGAAAATGCCTTTAAATTAAGTATTGTAAGAAATAAAATGTTGAATGTTTCATACAAAATTGAACTCAGCCAGAATTTAGTGCTGCCTCCTAAATGAACTCCACTTAGTACAATAATGTCATCATTCTAATAATTATGATTTATTAACAAGCTTCTACATATAGTATTTACAAAAATAATATCTCTTCTAAATATCCTTTATTTACAGGAAAACAATTCACAAGATGTGAGATAGATATGTGAAAATAAAAAAGATTAAAAAAAGAACCAGAGTGATTTTACTTTATTTTCAAAAATTAAGAAAAATATCTTCAAGACGTATTCTCCCAAATTTCCAGTCACAAGTTATTAAGATTGATAAATTAAGAGTTAATAAGAATAACATTATTTTCCTGGTTTTGCTTTCTTATTATTGGAAGTTTAGAAAATAAGGGTTAACTTTAAGAAAACTATACAAAATAATGTATTAATTGAATCAAAAAATTAGATGTTATGAATTAGAATGAGAAAGACACCTAAAACTATTTACAGAGAGAAGATCCAAACATGCATAAAGATATGATCTTTAGCAGGCAAAAGTAAAAGATGTAGAAAGTGTAAAAGAGCTGCATGTGGAATCAGAAGAACAAACAATTGATTATATAGTGGAATTGCTTTAAAAGCTATGATTTATTTTTTTCTGAAGCTGTTAAAAACAGATTTGGCATGGCTCATACAAAGGAATACATAATATTAAGTATATCAAGAGCAACTAGATATGATAGATATGTCCTTATAAGAACAAAAATGATACTGATTTCGTAAGAGTGAAAAAAAAACCTTAAATCTTTGTCTCAAAGAGATTCATTGTTAATCAAGATGGGATCTCAAAAACTGTGAGGACACAGTTCAATAGGCAGGTCTAATTCGATGTATGCCTTCCTAACCCATTCTTCCAGCAGAAAAAAATAAGCACAGTACCTCTGAGAATATGTATAAATTGTAAAATGAAGTAATCTGATTCTAGGTTGTTCATGTTTTATCATTCTGAAATCTCGGAATAATTTACAAAGTTTTTCATGGTTTCTTGTTCATGAAGTAATCAGGTACATACTAATTTATTTTAAGAGCAGAAAAGTATACGGGTTCTCTTAAATGTTAGGAGAAATTAAAGGAATACACAATGAGTGTTCACTAAAGTGGCAATAAATTATGAATTAGAATCTTCTGCAGATAATAAAAGTCATTTTGAGACTTCTCTGGCATCTTAAAGTGGCAGAACTTACAACATCAAAGCCTCCTGTTTCCTTGGCTTATCTTTACATAACATCTTGGGCAGGTTTTCATTCTCCTTCTTTGCATAATCTCACAAATCAAGTAATGGAACAAAAAAATAAATCTGGTCTTCATATTTTGAAGAATGGACACAAGGTTACAGGAGGCTTGTTTTAAATGAAACACTTTTTAAATGTATTCTTTGCCTCCATGGATCCTGGTCGAGAGCGCCATAAGACTGATTGTCTGAAATCTACTGCAGGATAGGAGAAGAAGAAAATAACTATATTTACATCTTGATATTTACTTTGAAAGATACGCAAATATTTACAAATACTGATAAGTAAATTACATTTGAGATCAAATAGCAATAATTTGGTATATTTTCAATTCTCTTTAGGAAAATAATACTATAGTTTATATTCTGATTTTCCTTTACTGTATAATATGTCAATGAAACTCATAAAACTTTTTGATTTTTCACACTGTGCAAATAATATATCCAAAGGAATAAATTTGTGGAAAACCATATCCATTGGTCTCAGGTTCCAAATAAGTGAATGAATGAATATTACACTTGTTAAAAATGAGAGCAAATTAACACAATTAACATATTTTCCACATTTAAATTCTTCTAATATGTTATTTACTAAGGGAACCTGTAAAGTGACATTGTTAACTGGTCACTGAATATAAGATCACTGATGTAATACGCTGTCTTTCTAGTACTGTGTAAAATTATTACTGATTTACTACTACAACAACAAAAATTGGAATTTTTGCTTATGAAGTGAACACAATCAGTTTTTCACAAAGTCAATCATGTTTCCTTAGTCCAACTATAGCTATGTAAGTTAATGCAAAGTATTCTGGGAGCTTACAAAACTTCCAGCTGAATTACACAAAGTAAATTAGCTGGCATGGCTATAATATTCAGGAATTGAGACAGACACTTATAGTACCTAATAACAATGTGAATTCCTTCATTTTGATCCTCTGAATTTCTACCAAATTGCAATATGTTAAATATTATATCATAAAGAATTTTTTTTTACAATCATATAGTTTTACATATGTGATGCTTTGAGGAAAAAGACATTAATGATTAAAATATGAAAATTGATAAAATAAAACACTTTATATTATAAGTAAGTTTATTTTTATTTACCTCCTCCCCATCTCAGACATCTGGCTAAGTCATTCCCAGTTCCAAGAGGGAGAATAGCAACAGGAGGATGCTTAATCAAATTTGCTTTCTCTGTAAATAAAAAATGAAGGCATAGTTTAAGACAAATAGCAGCCAAGACAGAATCTATATATTAAAAATTATATTAATATTATGGTTAGATATGGTTTAATAAAAATAATGTGTTCTTAAAATCTATCTATACATATCAACTGAGAAGGACTATGCCAGTAACCTACAAGAGGAAATTGCTATCACCCAAAAACTAATTTTCCACATTTAGGGTATAGTAGATTATGAAAGTAATTATCATGAGCGAAAATCAATGGGGGGAAATCAGTGATTATGGTAACTGATGACTCATCAAGATAAATGTACCCTAATAATATATTGCATTCTGGATTGAGAACTGTAGATAATTTACAAGACAGCATATGATAAATTATCAGTGTTTCCATTATCCATAGACCAAAGGGTAAAAGATATCATTGAAATTATACAAAAATTAAGAAGTAGAAAACTATATGAACAGCAGCATTTAGTGCAGAGCAGAACTCAAAAAGCTTTGAGCTGGTCCTATTTTATAAGGCAAGTTCTTTTCCCACTGACAGTTAATGACCATACAAACTATACTGGGCATTGGCTGAAAACACATAAAACAGGCATTTGCTAGGAGCAAGAGATGGTTTGTTTGCCATCTCAGTAACATTTCAGATTTCTTAAAGTTATTCTTCTTCCTTCCCAGTTCAGCTTTCTAAATTCTCCTCCTTCACAGAAAAATATGATGTTTGCTGAATTTTGGCTTTTTTGGGGGTGGGGAAGGAAGACCCAAGTTTATGGTCTTGTCATCAGTCACCGACGGATTCATCACCTTGAAGTTAGAAGTCCAGTTCCTCTCTCTCTCACCAACTTTTCCCATTTAGGTGGACGGGAAAAAGAATATGAAGTAGAATGAATCCTACATTATAGAAGCAGGAGGAGATGTATAACTCATTGTTACACTGAATCAGAATGGCCATAGCAATGTGTAGCAAATGCCCATACCTTATACTACGTTAGCAAGATATATCTAAAATTCCCACACAAGTCCTGAATCTGTGACCGGTACTGCTAACAATAGAATGAAATAAGATTTGGTGGTTCTTGATACAAAAAACTACAATAAACTACCCAGTACAAGTTGCTATAAAGGACAAGAGACTATCTAGGTCTCATTTGACCAGGATCTTCACCTGATGAAAAAGGGGTAAATCTAAGTGGAGATACTGTACAGGAAAACAGAAAACAGATAAATCAAGAGCTGTTGCAGGTAGTAGTATAGTAATATAGCCTTTATTCTCATTGTACATCATGTATACAATGAAATTGGTTGAATTGGTCAAAGACAGTAAGTTCTAGGAAGGGAAGAGATGCGAGAAACAGACTCAAGATTTTTCCATCCTATCTTTTGAGACTGTATGGCATAAGAGAGAGTAATGGAAAATCTTGACAAAATATTTTAAGATTCTTAAAGAATCTTAAAATTCTGGGATTCTACAACAATGAGGTTGAGTTCATTTCATTTCATTTATTGAATTTATAGGCCGCCCAATCCCGGAGGACTCCGGGCGGCTTACAGAAATGAGAAATATTGAGAAAGGGTTAAAACAATAAGACACAACAAGATTAAGAAGAAACACAACATGCACCCAATCTAAGCAGGGCTGGACCTCAATCAAGACGTCAACAGCCCCAGGCCTGCCGGAAAAGCCAGGTTTTGATAGCTTTATGGAAGGCCATGAGAGTGGGTAAGGTCCGGATCTCTGGGGGTAGCTCATTCCATAGGGCCGGAGCGGCAACAGAGAAGGCCCTACTCTGAGGCGTCACCAGCCGGCATTGTCCAGCTGAAGGCACCCGGAGAAGGCCCATCCTGTGCGATCTTATCGGTCTTAGGGAGGTGTGCGGCAGAAGACGGTCTCGTAGATATCCGGGTAGGCCATGTAGGCTTTAAAGGTAATAACCAGCACCTTGAATCGTGCTCGGAGACCAATGGGGAGCCAGTGCAGCTCGCGGAGGATAGGTGTAGCGTGTGTGTAAAAAAGAAAACAAAAAAACAGACATAAACAGAACATTTCTATCTCCAACTATTGTCAGTCCAGAAATAGGAAAGTTGAAGTCAAAGGTTGTCAAAGTGTTAGATATCATAATTGTTCTAATCTAAGCCTTGGTTTTTTTTAAAAAAA